GTAAGTTGGTTGCACAGTTGAACTGAATTTTGGATTTTCAGTATCTTCTCATATTACCTGTATTCTATTTCCTCATGTATTTATATGCTGTTGATGGTTCTGTGTTTGTCTTTTGCCTTGAGATTAGGGTTGCTATCTTTGAACTGGCTATAATATAGGGAATATAGGGAATGGATTTGTAAAAATTAGGAATGTAACCATGCTTCTAGTGAAAACCATGGTTGTGTTTATTTTTTAAATGTCTTCCTAAGGAGGCAGTTAAAAAAATTGCTATCAAGTTGCTTAATATTTTCACTGGTTGGGGTGTTAGAGTGTATAATACACATTCACATATACAGCTATTGTACAGATGGGCTGTGATAAATGCTAAAAGAGAGGCAGAGGAAACCTGATGTGGTTGACACCTGGGGCAACTGGGAAAAGCTGTAAGAGGATGTGGAATCTATAATGGGCAGTGAATAATGTATAAGATGGGACAGGTTCTTCTAGATAAAGGAAACAACAGCATGATAAAGGCAGAAAAGCCGAGGAGTAATGTCAGGGTGCCCTATATAGACAGCATAGAATTGGGGGAAAGACACTGGAAATAAACCCATAAATGGATCGTGAAGTGGAAGGTCAAAGAGAACGGAGCTCACACGTATTGGTACCTAATATGAGTAGGCGCTGTGGTGGGGTCCTGATGAGGTAGAGGATTGTATCCTCATTCCTGTGAGGGACTGAGGCTCAGGGTAACTCACTTGCCTGAGGGCCCACTACTGATGGTCAGGAGTCTACATTTGCAACCAAGTCTGACTTACCTTGGAAGTTCTCCTGTTATTGCTAAATATCCTTCCCACTGTATCAGTACATCCAGCTTAAAATGTTAGTATTTGACTTTTATTCTTAGGCATTGTTGAATGGTTCTGAGCAGGATTGAATGTTACCAGAGGTCTTTTTCAGGGAAATGAGGTGGTGGTGTTGTGAAGGCTGGATGGCTACCTTTCCAGTCTGCAGACAGTTGCTTGTAACATCTCACACCCAATCACTGGAGTCACTAAATGACTCAATTGTCAGAACTGTATTTGCCAAATTTTCCAGAGAAATAAAAATCAAATTCTGTACCAGTTTTGTTCCTCCTGCCTCTCCATTAATAGCACTGTGGTTCCACTTGGGCTTAATCCTCTTTAGTGCATACCTTCTAGCTTTTGTAACACACACTTATTCAAATAAGACTAACTCTGGACTAACTACTAATTGACCAAAAAGTTCCTCAACCCATAACACCTATGAAACCAAGATATTTCTTCTATTATAATTGACATGATGAACTCTGATAGAAAATGTCGTGCCATTCATTATACCAATACTGAAATCTTTTTACACCAATCATCTCTAGAATGGTATGTAAACAAGGGAAATATAGAATGCCTATTCTTCATACCTTAAAAACACATCTGGAACTATTTGAACTAACTAAAAGTAAAATAAGTGCCATGGCAGATTATGCCATACCATTTCACATAAAACAACAACAACAAAAAGGGAAATGGAAAACATACCACTTCTAGAAGGCCCTGACATTGAATTGGATATTGAAATGGTATCGGTAATGTATTTATATATGCCACATTTTCTTCCATGCATCAGCCGTCTTTGGTACATATGTGTTGGATATTTGCCATGGGAGTTGAAAACTTACCACATAGGGAAGATCTTGTTTAGAAGTGGTGTGAATCATTAAGGTAGAAGTAAAGTCAGTTCTTTTAAAACAAATAATTCCCTGATCTGATAATTTTTTTTCTTTCTTTTTTTTTTTTTCATTTTGTGTCAGTCTTTCAGTAAATGTCAGCTTTCCCCTACACCAACTAAAAACAGAGATTACATGCAAGAATGGTATAATTTTCATGAACTTAAAAAATTACATGAGAAATATTATAACTTAATATTGGTTTTACTATATCCTCTAATTTGAAATGGAGTGAAATGCTTCTATGGTTGAATCATAGCTCTTTTGCTGTTTGCTATAGAAGTTTCAAGAATATATATTTCAAAATTTTTTTTTTTTTTTTTTTTTATTAATCCAAAACAAATGCAACAGAACGCAGCATACTTGAAACACATTTTCTGAATTTATCTTAAATCTCTCTACTCCAGAGCGTTTTTGTGTGTGTATGGCTTAGGCTTGGCTGGTTATTTCATCATCTATTTCAATCCTGGATTGATTGCACTGAACAGCACAGAATGAGTTACATATGGTCCCACTTTGTCTAAGTTTGTAGGACCTCTGGGTTGGAACTCCATTTCATCAGAGTGAAGCTAGCCATCACAGAAATGTGGCTAATGTCAAAATCTTAAATACATACACGTATACATGTATTCCAGAGAGAATGTGTGTACCCCTGTTAGAAGTAGTGGTGTTTTGCTATTCATTGGCTCAGTGGTTATTGCTCCTAAAATATTGACAACATCTCAGGAATTTAAAAAAGTTGTTCATCTACATTTTATAATAATTGTTGTTGGTATTATTATTATTAAATTCTGGATAGGAATCATGTTACACAAGTGGACCAAGACAGGTATTCAAAAGGTATTCAAATTAAAATTATGAATATATCAAAAATATTTCTAAAATTTGGCAGAGGAAGACAGAAGAAATACAAACTATCTTAAAAGAGTCTGAAGAGGAAACCCACTGTCAACTTTATGGTTTATTATTCCCTTTTTCCTTAGTGTGGGGCTACTGGAAAAAGAGTAATGAAAAGCGTGTTTAAGATACATTTCCAAGTTTAGGTATTGCTCAAGAATTGCATCAAGTAAGGTAGGGCCTGTGCCCACCAAGGCTCAGCTTTTGGCGGTGGTGAAACTGTCCAGGGTAGCTTTCTCCCTTTCCAAGCTCTTTTCTCCCTGCTTTTTGGTCTGTTCCCTCTTTCTCACCCTTTCCTTCTATTGCTCGATATACTTATTTATTTCTTTCTCTGTTATTCCCACTTCCCCTTCCCCCTCCTGCTCTTCCTTTCTCTCTCTGCAACCACGTGCTTCAAATCTGTGGGTCTGGACTGCCTTCGCTAACAGCTCCATGTGAGTGTTAGCAGAATGAAAACCAGATGGACCAGCAGTTCCCACTGTTATCTCCCAGCTGACTCTGGCAAGCCTCCCTTTATCCCTCCTTCCTTGGCATGAGGGAAATATTTGCCTTTATTTAGGGAGACTTGTATTTGCTGCTGTACCTCTTCCCTCAGCTGCAACACAAGTGGAAAGCTATTTATTCCCTTGTTGCTGAGGTTGGTTGAGGTGAGTAAATGGTGCAATGAATTTTACTATCAAAGAAGTGGTTTTAAACCTGCCTAACTTCTGCATTTCTCTACAACAAGTTATTCACTGGTACTCGTTAAGTGTTCTGGAATAGCAATATGAGGTCAAAATTTTAACAATACAATAAAGGTAGAGACACTCTCCATGCATCTTCACAATCATCTCACTCAGAACGCTTAATTCACAATAGGGACAGTCATTGTTATTCAGCCAGCAGTAGAGACTAAGAAATAGAGACCCTGATACTGGTCACTGTATCATCGTTCACAGTGCTCTTATTAGAATGATTATTATTTTCATTCTTCCCTAATACGGTGTCAATGCTATTTCAACTTTCAAAAGTTGTGTTCTATTGCAACCCAAGTCTTATGAAATTGCTTTGAATAAAGGGGAGGTAGATTTGGAATTGTCATAGTAGTAATTTGGGCTTTTCATTTTAATAATTGACAAGTAATTTTGAGAGTTTTTCACTATGGTGATCATAATGTTTTAAGAGACCCATTCTTTATTAATAGTCTGTGTTATGTTACTTTTCAAAAACTCCAAATGGGAGATACCTGTACCTGAGGCCACAAGAGGCGCCTCGGATATTTTTTGGGGTGTGTGTGTACACATGTTTGTAGAAAATTGGATCTAAACAAACAAATAAAAACTTTTTTTTTTTTTTTTAACTGGAGATCTGTTTCTTTGAGTAGATCAGATTGAGAAAAAAGTTTAAAATTCCAAGGGAAAAGTATACTTAGTATAAAACAGTCCTGAAGTGCAAATGTTCATTATTGGGTAATGAGGAAATTTCTCCTTGTCACATACTCATGAAAAAATATTAGAAAGATCTTTAGTTCTCAATTTGGGACTTTTCCATTCTTACTCTGCCTGAGATTATTAATTGAAGTATTGGTTTTTTATGTTTTATTTTATTTCTTTATTTTTAAAATTTATTTATTTATTTATGGCTGCATTGGGTCTTCGTTGCTGCACATGGGCTTTTCTCTAATTGCAGCGAGTGGGGGCTACTCTTTGCTGTGGTGCACGGACTTCTCAGGTTTCATATTTTTTAAATGGTGGATCATAAACTCACAAGTTCTAAGTCAATAATAACTTCACTTCGTTTTGTGACATTTATGTAGTGGTGATTTTTCAAACAGGTCAGAAAAAAAATTGAAGTGAGAGGTTATGTCTGGGAGACATAGCCTGCTTCATCTGTTAGGCTAGAAAACTAAGCATGGAAAGGGGATGGTAGGTGTTACAAAAAAGTCATTGCAAAACGCCAACTTCTAACAGTATCCCACCTGCATAACAGCCTAAGATTTGTGTTATTTCTGAGCTGTCTGAGGGGTTCATTACCGTCCCACTTCCTCATCTATTTTTTACCTCTTGCTAATGTTGGCTTCAGCTTCAAGCGAAGTTGTGCTGTTGCATATAACGCTACCAAGGTAGCATCTGTCTAAGCCAGAAATAACAATAAGATGTAAAATTACCCAGTTAGAAATGAGGTCCTGCCATCTGTGCTACACCTTCTTAAGTGGGGTTTGGATGATAAAGTCTCGATTTAAGCTTCAGTAGATAAGCCTATTTTATTGATAGAAGATGTTGGATTTCTTACCTTGCTTGTAAAAAAGATGAACCTCTCTTATAAAACTGAGGTACCAAAAAAACCCTGAGGTGCTTAAGGAGTAAAATAACATGATCATGGTGGCATCCTCCAGATCGGACTGAGAAGCACTCCACGATGCCAGACTCACCTGTGGATGTGAAGACCCCGTCTAGGCTGACTCCTCCCACGATGCCACCTCCCCCAACAACTCAAGGAGCTCCCAGAACCAGTTCATTTACACCAACAACGTGTAAGTAGGCATTTCTGCATTTGCTGTTTCCGTTTTCAAGTTCAAATTAAATTTTTTTCTGCAAATAAAAATTAAGGGACAGTAAGATCCAGCATCAATGTATTATGCAGAAATGAAGCCCCACCCCCCCACACAAATAATTTGTATGCCAGTGAGTAGGTATTGAGCACAGAATTATCATATCTTGGGTAAAATTTGTATGACTGCCAATATTTGCCTGCCTTTTCATTATTGTTTCAAAGTTGTAGTCTTCTGTGATTTCAGTGAATGAAGAACACTGCCTTTGGTCTGTAACTCATCATTACCACGTTAACTTCTCCTTTGACTTAATGAGGAACTCCTTATTTTAGTTTGTTCATTTTGACTTGGAACATGTTAATATGCTATAATTATTTCCAGGTTACTTCTGATCTTCTAATCCACTTTCTTCTGTTATTTACAAGTAATGTTAAAATCTAACATTCTTAAGTTAAAAGAGGGATCATTCTATGCAACAGTTGCATACAGAAAACTTTCTGAAATAAGGAGCATCTTTCTTGTCTTGAACTTGTCAGACATTTATTAAATATTTATTCCATTTCAACTTGGCTCTAGACTTGTGCTCTGAATCAGTGGAGTGTATTGCTTTTTGTGTCATCCAAGGAAAGGACAGAATATTCTGATAGAATAGCAACTTCCCTTTTTTCCTGTATATTTTAATAGGAATAGCAGATAGCTTTGTTTTCATCCATCTGAAAGTCCTGGTTAAAATATCAAAGATTTGTGAAACTAATAAATGCCGTTGGTTTCAGATAATACTATTTACAGACTATGTGCCCTGAAATCTGTATATGAATGAAAAATAACTAATAGGCAAAAATAGATCCTTGGGATTATAAGTGTTCGGCAAAACACACATCCAGGCTATTTATGCAGTGTTGCGCTGCCTTTTATAAGACCTTTCCAAACATGTAAGGAGCAGGGGCCTGCAACAGTGCCAAGTTGTAACCCTGTCATCTTGTATTTGGTTTGTTGTTACCCAAAGCCACAATGATAGGCATATGCCTCCTCTGAGAGGTCCTAGTGAGATGTCATTTCTTGACAGGTTGCTTTGGTACTCATTTGGGACGAGACCACTTTATTTTCTTGAACCTTTTAAGAATAATAAGGTGCTTAAAACATCTTCAAACTATTGTTGGAGGTAGTTTATCAAAATTATATTTAAAAGATGGGTTTGATAAAGATCTAACAGGGTAAAGTCAACATTTTCTTTGGTGAGAAATGTGCAAAATTTTCTAGCCTAGTTCTTACGGATTATCACCTTGACGTTCAAATAAATTTTATCAAATGAATTTACGAAGTTACCACCAATCCATGCTGTTAGTTGGACTGAGATATCCCCTTTCGATTTCTAGAAATAACTCTTTGATAATTACCGTATGCATTTTGGCTTCTTACATAAAATTGGTGTTTTCCTTAAAGAAGTGGTTAAGAAATATGAGGGGGAGAAAATAGCCTTCTAATTGGGTGGTATAAGGTTAAAACTTGAAAGTCGTACTTCTATAAACACAGCTGTCAGTTGTGTGTATAAAACATGATTAAAAATGTCCAGTGATAAATTTAGTCTCCACCAAATGTCCATTTTCTCTAGGGGAGCAGTTTAGAAAGGAATAGTTCTGTTATATTGATGTAAGCCTGGGACAAAAGGCTGACATCCAAAATGCTGTTTGTTCTGTGTTTGCATATGTGTGCATGGGAGGCTGTCCCTGTGCTCCAGCCGGCTCCCATTTCTTATCAGCTTCTGTGCAGGATATCCTCATGTGGTGTGAGGAGTCCACCCATTTAGTTATGGAGTACCTGAGCCTCTGGTAATCCTGTGAAGTCAAAGCATTTTACCAAAAAGGCCCAACAGCTTTTAAATTACCAAATTCACTAGATTGGAAGGGAAGGATACTTAGTTGTAATTTCCTTGTGCATGTTCTCTGTAAGTTTATTTTTTCTTTCTGATTTTGTGCCCTCTGACAGTAACTAATGGCACGAGCCATTCACCCACAGCCTTGAATGGCGCCCCCTCACCGCCCAATGGCTTTAGCAATGGGCCTTCCTCTTCTTCCTCTTCTTCTCTGGCTAATCAACAGCTGCCCCCAGCCTGTGGCGCCAGGCAGCTCAGTAAGCTGAAACGGTTCCTCACTACCTTGCAGCAGTTTGGCAATGACATTTCACCGGAAATAGGAGAGAGAGTCCGCACCCTCGTACTAGGACTGGTGGTAAGCAAATGGAAATCGGCCCAGTTTGGGTTACCAGGGAGAGTGTGGGGGAGATTCAAAATACAGATTCCATTCTCACAGGTATTTTGTTTCTACACCTGGAGATTGCATGCAAGTCTGATGATTCTGTAGTAACAAGGGTTTCAGTTCTGCATTATGTATTGACCCCACCATGATTTCTTTTCCTATTGATATTTAGCTAATGAAGATGTGGTTGTACAAATTTATCATTATCTTGGCCATAAATGTGTGTGTGCATAAAATTTAATAAGTATATCCTCCTGGCATGGCTAGTGTCTTTTCAACAATGACAGAATATTTTTGTTATGTTAATGGTTTGCTTAATCTAATTGGGTGCTTATTTTAACTTAGTTGCTTTGGGGGGTTTTTATTATCAGCCTAGATGAGCAAGAATTTATAACAAGTAACACATTATTCTTTTATGTTTTCATTTTTAAGGCTAATAGCATTGAATTTTTTGTGTGTGGTAAAATACATGACATAAAATTTACCATTTTAACCATTTCTGTGTGTACAGTTCAGTGGCATTAAGTACATCCACATTGTTGTATAACCATCACTACTATCCACTTCCAGAACTTTTTCATCACCCCAAACTGAAACTACCCATAAAACAATAATACCCTGATTTCTTCATCCCTTAACCCCTTATAACCATTTATTGCTTTTTTTAAAAAAAAACAAAACAGTTTTTTGCTATAGGTAGAATTACACAAACCGTTAGTTTGAGAACAGAAGTGTTGATTTTGGCACATTATATTAAAGTCTGTACATTGTCACACTGGAAATTAGAGCATATTTCCTTTTCTTGCATTCTAAATCACTTTTACATGTCCTGTGACTTTCTTTATGAATAGAGAATTTTCATTTAGGAAGGTGATTTTCCCATAGCAAACTGAGTCATAGAGAAGCTCTGAGTCACATATTCAGGCCTTTTATCATCCAGGCTTACAATGGAACTGAAATTCATACGATAGGCAGCAGTTTCCTTTTTCTCGATATAATCATTTATTTTTATTACATGGACTTATCATGGGCAAAGCCATAGCAGTTGTGTTTTACAAAAGAAGTCCTAGAAGTAAAAGTCTGGGTGAGAGTTTAGTGCCGTAGATGTGCTTCAGATCATAGTATCTCACATTTGACAGAGATTTTGCAATTCAGTTTTTAACCCTTACCTCCCTCTCCCCCACACTTTAAGAACAAGAAGCTTTCACATTTCTCATAATCCATCAGCTTCCTCTGACAAATTTGTATTCCTCTGGAATACAAATCGCCTTGTATTCCTCTGACAGGAAGGTGATTTTGGCATAGTATGTCAGCATACTGCAGTTACTTTTGTCAGTCACTTATCTTTTCCTTTTTATTTGTTCTTGAGTTTTGCATAAAGCGTTTTTGACACATAAATAGGTTACATCATAGAACCACAAAGTAAATCCAAAGCAGTAATTGTATCAAGTGAGTGATGAAATGTTGTTACTAGTAAAAAATGTTTATTTTAAAACTGCTTTATAAATTTGATATGTTCTTTAACTGCGGTTTCTATAACTTCAAATATAGAAAAAATTGGTAGCTTTAAGTAGATTTTTCCCACATATTAAGTGGAATACTTTTGAGGGCAATACTTTTTTAAGATTTTATTTATCTAAAGACTTTATCAAGATAAGTTGGGGAAAACATTAATTTTTTTTTTTTTTTTGCGGTACACGGGCCTCTCACTGTTGAGGCCTCTCCCGTTGTGGAGCACAGGCTCCGTAAGCACAGGCTCAGCGGCCATGGCTCACAGGCCCAGCCGCTCCGTGGCACGTGGGATCTTCCTGGACCGGGGCACGAACCCACGTCCCCTGCATTGGCAGGCAGACTTTCAACCACTGCGCCACCAGGGAAGCCCGAAAACATTAATTAATAGTGCTAGGCATATATTCAGCAGGCAGTGAACATTTGTCAAAAGATGAATGAATAGAGAATGATTTTGTTTTGAGCATTTGACTGCAAGCTTTTACACATGTCATTTTATTTATATACATTTTACGTGTGGGGAAACTGAGGCTTACAGAAGAAAAATATTCTAGGCCACCCCATTGGTAGTGACAGGCCTATGATTTGAACTCAGGTAGTAATCGTAATGAATCACATTATACTGTTATTTAGATGGAGTTAAGAAAAGTGTTAATAAGAACTGTTTTAATGTGCAAAACACAACTGGTATGGCTTTAGAAAATGGAGCCAGAGAAACGAAATGAAAGATTAAAAAATGGACTCTCTGACCCTTATTGTTACAGATGGGAAGTTAGTGTTTATTCATAGTTTCAAGGGAAGATGTTTCAAGTTTGGGGGTATAAAAAACTTAGAACTTGGTGCCCCCATACTTTATCATAAAAGGAAAAGGAACTTGCATTAAAAACTAGATGGAGCAATATTCTAAAGTTGTTAGGTCACAAATACCCCAAGTTTGTCAGGTGTGAGGATAATTGACGGGTTGAAAAATTTGACACTGAAGTTTACAGTTGTGATTCTGCATAAGGACTGAGGAAAATGAACCAAATGTTGAGTCAATATGGTTAACTGACTCAGCACCTTTATAGTAGGTTGGTTGTCTATTAAATAGATGCTTTTATCGATGCACATTACCCATTGTAGGATACAAACCCTGAGTATTGAGGGCTTGTTTTTATGGGGTAGGTTAGGAGTGAATTTGACTCACTATGTGTAGTCTCTTTTGGGTTGAGCAATACACATTGCCTCTAGGATAAATGGATTATCTTTGATAACTGGGGAATTTTTTTCACCCTGTAAGACTCAGTGACTCAGAGGAAGGCTCAGACCTTTTCTTTGGCCTCATTAACAAAGCCAACTTAGCTGTTCATCCTGAGCAAAGATGCTCTGGTAAGCAAAGAAAGGATGCAAGAT